ACATTCATGAAGATTGTGCCCAAGATACCCTATCATACTCATTAGATTCAACAATAAATATAGTAGAGGGATTGAAGTATACTTTGAATGAAACATTTTAAGACTTATGGACAGTAAAATTAAAGTCAATTAAATGAAACTTCATTTAAATAGATTGCCCTGAACTGCAACATTTAATGCATTTTTCTTTGCAGAAGAAGTTTACCAATAAACATAGCATCCCATTTTCAATGGGACTCATCAAATAGACCAGCAATAGGTCATTAACTACACTAAAGTGTCATCATGCCCAATTCACTTATGAGTTCACACACACAGATAATTTCTTCACTGTTGACAGAACCCCACAATTATTTTCGAATCAAATCTAATCATCCTATTACTGTACTCTCTAATCCTATTTCAGCACATTCAGCATTGACTACTCTTGCAATATCAGATGGTAGAATGACCTAGAGGAAGAACTCCAAGGGAAACAAAATATAAAGCTAACAGAGTGTTTTAAAAGAAAAATACAAGACTTTAAACCATTCAACACTTAGTTGCAAAACTGGTAATGAGATCATGGAACATTCATTCACAACAAGTTTTTAAGTAGGCTCCTTAGATTATCTTGGAATTATAGAAATAAACTTCCAGGGGTCTATGAATGCCTGAGCTGTGAGCTAAACATCTATTATATGCATTTTTTAGGAGAAGTCATATATTTCTTACTGAAATTTCAAAATCATTCTTACCCCCCTACACACACATACCCCCCAAAAGATTAAAACCACTTATGTAGGGAAAATCATCATGGTTAGATAAAAATGATACTCAAAATTGATAGAAATTCATTTTTTTAAATAAACATTTGACTTTTGAATATCATGAATTATCTAACATCATCCAAAACCAATAAGTATTAGATTAATCTTTAAAATTAAATAATTTTAAAATTAGCAAAAACGATTTGTATTTGTCTTTAATACATTTTTAAAATTTCACTTGAAAGATATGGTAGCTAATGTTTGAATCAATAGCAGTACTCAAAAAGGCTCAAACACATTAGAATATTTTAGCTCAGGAAGAATGATCAAACTTCAGCCAAATATGATGTAAATTTCTCTGAAATTTTGAAAATAACAGATTGACCTCACAAATTCAAGAGGTAAAGGTAATCCGACTTTGTAAAACTTGACAGAGGAATTCAACTGGAGCCAGAGTGGCAAGAATTCATGCGAGCAAAATTTTCTTCTGTAAAAATTCTTGAGCTGACTTGTTAAAGGAAATTCTTGCTTTCAGTTTCTTTGTGACACACTCATTCTAGCTTGTATTCATTAGAGTTGGGCTGTCATGCTTTCTAAATTTCTGTAGTCACCATGTCTTCTAACAAGATAGATAATTAACATTTCCAGTCTCTGACATAACAAAAAGGTTTAGTCACATAAGAGACACTATTTAGAATATAAAAGGAGAAACAAGGAAACAAAGTAATTTGAAATTAAGCTGATCTGTAATTATAGGCATTGAAAATTTATCCTGCCATCTTAACATTCCAATATTTAGTCATTATAATTTAGATATTTTATCTTCATAGTTAATTAGATAACACATTTTTCTATATTTTAGTATCTTGTTTAAAATAAATTTATAAAACAATGATATACATTGACCCAAAAGTCAACAAATTTTGGTCAAAAAGTGTAGAAATTTACTTATTTATTTACTCTACTTCTGATTTTATTAGGACACTTGCATAAGGTCACACATTAACACAGATAATTAAAAGAAAATAATATACCATTACGTGAGAAAACAAAACTGCAGTTTAGTTGGTAGAGTAAAAACACAGATATAAAAACCTTAATGTCTTATATGTTTATTAATTTTTAGCTGTTAATTTCATTCTGACAGCCATGGTAACTAAAATAAGTAGTAAATATAATCAGTTACATGATTTCCATTGTATGTAAGAATAGCACAAAACAAACCAATTACCCTGGGTTGGTTCAAGTGAAGAGAAGAGATGTGAAATTCAATTCATAAAATTGGTATTGAAAGAAGTTTTTTTTGGTAGGATGTCTATGGGAGCTAAATTCCTTAGTCATCTTTATAAAAGAAATAGTGAGTTATGTATTGACTAAGACTTTAGTAACATGCCTGTATCAACTATAGAGCAGGTTGTATAAGATGGGAGTTGTTTCATATAAAATACTTGTATATAAGCTAAGAACATAATGACAAAGCATATTAAAGTCAATTCTGTCTGGGGGAGGTCTAAACAATGATGTAACATATTTACCTTTCTAATAATTTAGATTGTTCTGAAAATAAGTCATAGACTCTCCAGAAGTATAGATTAACCATGTGTGCTTTAGAAGAGCATTCATATATTTCATATCTTTCCACAAATTTGATAAAAACAGCAGCAAATATTGGCAAAGACCTGAAGTGTAAGTATTCTGTGTTTTACCTTTTCACAATCTACATCTTTTATATGGCAATGGAGAATAAAATATGAATAGCATATTCATTTGTGCTTCCACAGAACTTCATAGAACTTGCCATGTTGTTTTGCAGTATATCTCCTCAAGGGTAGAGATCAAATCTCATTTATCTTTGTATCACAACATCTAGCAAAGGAAATGAAACATAATGGATTTTAATCAATTATGCTTTCCTGATTTAGCCATTTTTGCAGACTTTTGAGAGCATCACCATCTTTCATGTAGCTTGAAAAGGGTCAGGGTCATGTACCAACCAAGGAACCTAGTTCATAGTCAAAGTTTTCTTGAAGCATCAACTCAAAAGCATTAACCTGATACCCTGTTATTAAGTGATGTAGGTATGGATTTTTTTAAAAAATCAGAAAATCCAGAGCAGCCTTCAAAATCTAAGCATGTGTGTATGATGTCAATGACATGACAAATCAACATTCATACAAATAATCTGTGAAACAATAGCCTTATTCCACTTTCCAAACTAAGATGAACATCTAGATTTTAAGGGTCACCTTACTGGGCATTTACCATGGAGTCATATAAGTCATAAAATAACAAGTCAAAGTCCCCAACTATCATAATCAATTCTTGGAATGGAGCTCATACAGGCTCATGTAACTTCATTCTGCTCCCATGAGCTGGGCTTGAAAAGAGAATGAATGATTGAAGATCATAGTATGGAAACACAGAGTAGAGCAAACCATACCATGCATCCAGACAAAGTCAAACTCAAAATCAAATGAATCAAATTTATAAACAATTGTTTAATACTATGCAAACAAAATGCTTACACGATTAACCTCTGATCTTAATTGAATAATTTATTTTTGCAACAATATAAAAACATACATAGAATAATAGATGGAATATCTCCTTTCCCACACTTTATGAGTGACCACAATATATTCTGAATGGCCAGAATACATTTCTCTAGCACCTTGCTCCTTGAAGTGGTCCCAAGACTAGCGACCTCTGGGCATCACCTAGGATATTGTTAGACATGCAGAATTTGAAACCCAATCTCACATCTACTGAATAAGAATCTGTATTTTATCACGACCTTTAGGGAATCCATGTACACATTAAATTTCAAAAAAGCACTGTCTCAGCACAGAGCTCTAATAAAGGATGTGGTCCTTAGCAAGCTTTAAAAGAGTCAATAAAACCATGGCTATGAAAATGTCACTAGAATAAGATGCCTTTCACTCTCTTCCATGGTGGGCAGTTAGTTTGCCTATATTTTAAGTCGTTTTATTTAGTTTTAAAAAGAAAAACACAACTTTTTGAATGTGATCTCATATGAACTCCCAGTTGTAACTTGCTCATTTTTTGTTAGTCCAGTACATTTCCTAAATTGTTAAATACTCTAAATAACCATAAAGATTTTTTCACTTCATTATTGAACGTGGTTACACTTACATTATGTGTTTTCAGCTTTATTTACATGAATAATGGCCCAAATCTGTATCTACATTTTCCCCAGTCACTAACACTAAAGCAGTTCATATGATGAATAATTAAGTTTGTAGGGAATTACAGGTGCTTGCAACTTGTAGGTTCTGGATACAGTATTACAACACAGATAGAATTCGGAACCTTATAAAATGAATTTGTTGAGACAACAAAACACCTAAAATTGGGATTAGGAGGGAGATTGTTGTTGTTTAGTTGTTTTGCTTGTTTTCAATGGGTTTAGATTTGGAATCTAAAGCACACTATGTAGAAAGTGTGCTTGGCAGCTATCTAGAACTTTATCAGAGCGTTCCTCGCTACTATTTTGTTGTCTTCTAGCTCATATTTGGGAACGAGGTCTCACCACGCAATGTTTCAGCACTACGGACAGCGCCTAGTCGGCTACACTCGAAACGGAAGGGGATTTAGTTGGATTTGTGTGAAAGAGAAAAGGGAACGAGTGGGGGGAAAGAACTCAGAATGACGCAGTCAGCCCCGGTTAAACCTTTCATCCTGTCTTTCCCTTGAACACGTAAGAATTTAGAGACTACTGTTTGACTGAGGCAGCTGTCACCTAGAAAATGCCCGCGGCAAAACCAGGAATGCAGCAAAGAGAAGAAAACATGGATTTCAGCAATACATTTTCAGCAAATGAAAAAAAAAAAAAAAAAAACCCATGGCCTGGGGAAACAAATATGGTGATGAACTCCTTTTAACCTGCAGGATGTGATACGAGCAAAAATGGGTGCCTCTTTCTTTCTTTTAGCAAAATTGAAGGATAGTGCCTGTTGCTGCTGTAGCGGATTCCCTTCCCCCCCTCATTTCCCACCTCCTTCCAGTCTCACGTACAAACATGGTCAGACGCTCTCACATACACACGCGCGAAAAAATATTTACACACTGCCACACCGAAGAAATCCATGCACATTTTCCTGCAAATACACACGCGCGCGCACCCGTACTTCGGCAGGCGCCCACGTCCTCTCTGTCTCACCGACAGACGCGAGCATTTACACACGTAGGCCAGGAAAGCGCTACCCAAGGTCCTGTGACTCCACGCAGGTTCCCAGAACACTCCTCTCACATTGTTGCTGAACCGATCAGCGCACACAGACAAACCTGCCAACACTTAAGTCTACTCGCTGGATTTCATCTCCATGGCAACAAGCATGGAAGGTGAGACATCGCTGCCTGCGAAGTAACTTTCTCCCCCTTCCCTCCGCATTAACCGACAGGGTTCCAAATGCAGGTCTAGATGAGAAGCATGCCCTCATTCTTTTGTATTTCTGAAGCAAGGGAGCGGGAGGTGGGGCGGGGGGTGCGGAAGCCTGCAGGTCTGATGAGTTTGGATTCTGAAGGGGAAAGAGCAGCCCAAATATTCTTCTGCCGCTGCTGATGCTGCTGCCCGAAATAAATAAATAAATAAGATGTGTTGTGTGTGTACAGATTGCTGATGCTTCTCCCATAATGTTTTGTAGGAAGTTTCCATGCTTCGGTTCAATATGTAGAAAGAGAACTGTAGACAAACAACGCAGAATGATAATGATGGTCTAGGTTTCTCTAGTGAAACATTTGAAGAATATTCGGACCAGGTTTCCCAGGGTTTTGGAAGGGAATAACTGTCAGAGTCCTTGAGGAGCCATCCAAAGATTCCGTCAAGAGAGAAATTCTCTTGAGGTTGAAATCTAAGGGTTTGGGGGTAGATTCTTGCAGAATCCCAAACCCAGAAGGTTTTGGATCTCTGGGAAGCCCTGAAATTTATGCACTTCACCATGAAGAAGACATCTGGGTTTGTAATTTAAGGTTTTCCTTTGATTCCAACACATTTTATTCCTAATGATTAATTAGCAGATGTGCCTTCAATAATACCTTTATCCCTCTTTGCTTTTCATAGGATTTAGTAACATTTATATTTTGTGGGGGGTGTGTATGTGTATGTAAGGAAGCGTTATTGTTGTTGTTTGGCTTTTTTTAAGCTTGGGATTTCCTTATGTCTCATTTCATAAAATTTTGAATGTCATATCACTAGACCTGGAGATTATTATATCTAATGACTAGTACTATTTTTTTTTTTTTTTTTTTTTTTACCCAGAACATCATATTCCACTCTATAGCCACTATTTTACATTTGCCGTTTGGAATGCCATTTCTAGATAAATAAACGGGGGAGGGGGGAGGGGAGGAACCTGTTGATTAAAATAAAACACAGGAGGTCCTCTCTTTGATGAATGCACATTTTTTAGCATTAGCTTCTGCAATGGTACATTGCTGCATGCAAATTAAATGACCTGAAAAGTGCAATTTTGTATATCCTAATCAGTATACTTATTTCACAAAAGAAATAAGCATCACATACAATATTCATGTATACAAAAGGTTACATATATATAAAAATATTATCTTTGCTTAACTACTTATAGTGGTATTATATGTAATGACTGATCACATGAAGACTTTTTCATTTATTGTTTGCAAACTATGAGGTAATTTTATGAGATATGGGCCTTTTGGTATCTACAGGTATATCCTTGACCCAAATCTGTGACTCATCAGGACTTAGAAATCTCAGTACCTGTCAATTGCCCTGAAAGAAATGATGTACTTTCAACCTAGTTGCTCATTTCTAAAGTACCTAAACACTTATTCCAGTGAATATGGCATAAGGCAGTATTGCCTGCAGTAGTATTATGCAAAGGTAATTAAATATTTTAATCATAATACATATTGACCCTGATATTTAAATTGTGTAATGTTGACTTTACCCATTTTTTTGTGGTATAGCATATTTTAAATAACTTTTACCACTACCCAGTTTCACATCCTATTCCTTATTTTTTTGAAAATTCACTTTTTTCTTAACTATTTTTTTCCTTTTTCCTTTTTTATTTTATTTTTAAAATGTGGGGTACAAATGTGTGTTAGGTACATACATGGTCATCATGCAGGTAAAGTGTGGGTACGCTTATTGATGTTATAACCATTTTTTTTCTCATATGAGTTTTTTTGATTTATGGTTTTGTAACTTCAAACCTAAATTTTCTCATATTTCTTTCATTTTCTATTTCCCAGTAAACAGGATATTAAGATGATGTTTTCCTCCTGAGGTAGGCATTACGATATCCCTTGTGCAGAGCCTAATGATTCTTTTTTATATTCCATCTCTTCCAGTGGTTAGAGAAAGTGAAAATGCATCTTTTATCTATAATTGCTGAGTATTTGGAGTATCTTATTATTTATGCAGGCAGCAGTGCTATAATTGGAGACTTCCGTTTGCCTTTAACAATATTTTATTACTAACAATATTTTTATACTATATTATGCTCTATATCAATAGAAAGGCAAAAGTTCAGCACTCTTTGGAGTACATCCTCAAAAACTTTAGGCTTGGCATTAAAATGAGATAAGTTGTTCATCTCACAGAGCAAGTGAAATGGACAGTCTAGGCAACTATCTGAAAATGTTGGACCTGAGATATTTCAGTTGCTACATGTATGGTTTAAGTTACCTAGACCTTGTATTTGCTGAACATTGTTAGGCAATTGCTTAACTTTTTAATTTTATTTGCTTACGTAGACATGGTCTGCATCAATAGCCAGTCTTTTTTCAGTCTTTGAATCTTACCTTTTCAGTTGTTCTCCTCGACTTATATTTGGTTTTCATCTTTAGTACAAAGTAGACTTTTAGATGAAAGTCTAAGTTTTCCTTTTTAAGATATAATACGTCTCTTCTTTCTCAACCCAATTTTTGTTAAAAAATGAAAACTTCATAGTTCTTTGAACCCAGGTGAATTTACTTGCTCTAACTGTAAAAACTTAATGTTCAGTTATGTCCTTACTATTGAAAATGTTTAGTCTAATGATTGAACATTTTGCATCCACCTTTAACTTCTGTGTAAGCAAAACTTATGTTCTGTCAAATTTCTTTAACATTTAATTTCATTTACTCTTTACTCATCATTCCTAAATCTCCTTCAATTTAGTAGTCCCTCCTGGACAGTCAATTAAATTTGTATATTGATGAAATAATTATAAACGCCAAATCCAAGGCCTTGTTTTTCACTGTTTAGTTTCCATCACTACTGCAGAATTTAACACTGTTTACCAATGCCTTCTTTTAGAAGTCTCCTTTATTGCAGGTGAACTCCCTACTACAGATTTACTCATAACCTTTTCTATATAATTCCATTAGTAGATCCTTTCTGTAGGAGAGGCATTCCCCGAAACTCACTGATAGGTTTCTCCCATCTTCAATCTTTTCTCATAATAGCAAATAGACCTTAAAGGAATTGCAAAAAACTTGCTCTCCAGATCAATCTAGAACAAGTCTATCTGGCTTTCTACAAGATAAAATTTCAGATATTTGGATCCACCTGTTGTCTTCCTTGGTCTTCCTTTCCCTAGGCAAAACTCAACAATTCTTATCTGTTGGGAGCCAGCCATGGAGGCCCACTGAGCGTTAGGGATCAGGAAGGGCCGTTGACCCTGAGACCACTAGGATGCGTTTGGGAGCTATTTGACCCCATTTCCTCCCCCTTTCTACTCAGTACTAACCAGATTAAGCTCCTGTGAGCTCAAAACATAAAAACTCTGAGACTGGGATGAACATAAGCTAACTTTAGAAGCTCATTGCTCCCATTCTTCCACAAACTTCAGTTTTGGCTTTCACACAACTTATAATTCAAACTCGTGTCACATCTAAGAGGCTTAGTATTGGTCACAGGCTTCTGGGTCATGATCTTAGGATTTATTGAAGGTGTAAATTATAGAATATAGTTTTAGAAGACAGCCATTTTGTTGAAAGAATGCGGCTGGGTTACTTGCAGGTAGCCCACTGTGAACTTTGGACTGGGCCACATTCCAAACATTCTGGGATGGGCCACTTTCATTTGCAAAGTAAATACTTAAGCTTCTACAGAATTGTTTAACTTGGCATAAATCAATCAATTTAGGATGAAAAAGGTTTATAGAATATATCACGGATTAGGTTATCCTTTGATTTTAAGATTATCATATGAAAAGGGTTTAAAGGCAATCATTGATTAAGTTTTCATGGATTGAGGTTTCTGGTGGGTGGGGGATACCCCTCCCACATCTGACTTTGTGTATAAAAGACCCCTTGTAATTCCCAATAACACACATCACTTCTGCACTAGACCGGAGTCCAGTCTCTTTCTTTCTCTCTCTCTCTCTTTCTCTCTTCTTCCCCCCAATCGCCGACGCCGTCTCTATCTTTGGGGTACCCTGAACCCGGCTAGAGCTGGTCTCCGGCAAGTGGCGCCCAATGCTTCTCTTAAGTTTTTATCTGTAAATACTTCTATGTACTAGGATCTCTCCATCCTGATAGATTATGCTACAAAAAATTTATTTGATAGCAGTAACTTTAAAATATACTTTCCATCAAAAATTTTATGCTGAATGAAATTAATTAATTTATTTTAAACTGTCTATTGAGCATCTACTATTTGCCAACTCCACAACTAAACTTTTCACTTACCTTCTGAATCTACACTTTGCTCTTATTTGTCTTATTTTGATTAATAAAAGCACTATCTTTACACTTGCTCAAGCTTAACAGAGTAGAGTCATATTTGAAACCTCTCTCTTCATGGCCTACTACATTCCATCAGTTACCAAATCCTCTCCTTATTTTTCTAAATATCTTTTAAGCCCACACCCTCTTCCACACATCTGCTCCCTAGTGCAGGCCCTCATGGTGTCTCAGCTGAACTATTTATTTCCCAGTGTTCCCTAAAATTTTGTCTAATTCAGTCTCATCACCAAGCCATTCAGGCTTTATGCACACAAATTTCTAACTCTTAGCCTGGCAGAAAATATTTTTCACAATTCGGCTCCAATCTACCTTTCCAATGTTTGTTTTCCATACTCCCCTTTACTTGGACAAATTCCTCACTGTCCTCTGAATAAATTCAATGCTTTTCTGCCTTTATATTTATTGTGATGCTCTTTTCTCCTTCACATATCTAAATTCTGTCTTTCAAGACTCAGTTCAAACATAATCTCTTATGAGAAAAACTTTCCTGATCTTCACATAGGTAGAATCTCTATTTCCTCTCAATTGTTTTTCCTTTTTCAGTCTCCTTTTTTCCATCAAGATGTTCAAAATAATAATAGCACCATATGAGCATTGTGGGGATTAAATAAAATATGTAAGGAAGT